GGTGGGTGGGTAGGGGAGAGAGAGAGAGAGAGAGAGAGAGAGAGAGAGAGAGAGAGAGATGGTGAGAGGGAAAATGAGAAATCAGCCTCTGGGGGTTGGCCACGTTGGAACCCCTTCCTCTCCATTCTCCTCTCAGGATCTTGGGCACACACGCACACGCGCCTGGCATGATTTTCAAGCCACTAGGACTCAAACCGTGGTTGGCTGTGTGGGAGTTCAGTGATGTAACTACTTTTCCATCTGCTGGCCTCCAGCCTCTCACAGTTTAGAAACTTCACTGTCACCCTACCATCCTCCTCCTCGCTATCACCTTCTTCACTACCGTGTTGTTTATCAATGTCTGCGTCTCACCCTCCTCATCAGCACCACCTTCTCCTCCGCCTCTTTATCACCATGCCTTCACCATCATCCTTACCCTATCCTATCCCATCACCACCAGCCTAGCCCCGACACTCTGGAAAGTACTAGGAGACAGGCACTATCGAAATGCTTCCCATCGTTCACTAATTAACGCTCATAAAGACCTAATGTGGTGGGCTTTGTTATCATCCCCATCAACAGGTGAAGACGCTGGGGTGCAGAACAAACACGGTGTGAGCACTGCGATTCGAATCTAGTTCTGATGCCAGCTCCCACCTCCTCACCTCTGGTGTCTCTAGCAGCCAAAATGTAGGAGTCCCTCTTCAACACGAAGAACATCAGCCTTTCAGGAGCAAGTTAGAAAGTTTAACTATAAATGAATCATCTGACATTGAACAAAGACTCTTGGGACATCGAATACCCAAGAGAGAGGCTGACGTCCTTGGAAGCTACCTGTCCGTCTCATTTTATTACTTACATCTCCGTCTGAGCTCAGAGATCAGCTCTGCCCTTTGGGAATCCCAAGCTCATTGTCCAGTGTCCATTTGAAGGCAATTTTTGTGCTTTTGCCAATATCCACAGGTGAATATTTTGCTTATGCCACTCAGTGATTCTCACTTAACTTTAAGATCTGTGTGAAATTCTTTCTTAAATTCAGTATGTGTGTGTGTATATATATATATATATGTATATATGTAAATATATACATATATATATTTTTTTTACTTTTTTTTGAGGTTTTTTTTTTTTTTTTTGGCTAAAGGGCACATGCACCTCCCAAAAGAGACAGAGAGACAGAAAGTGAGAAATCACACCCCCCCAGGGGGGATGGCCATGCCGCAGTCCCTTCTCCATTCTTCTCTCAGGATCTTGGGCATGCATGTGTACACGCCTGGCGTGAGTTTAAGCCACCGGGTCCAGGACTTGAACCACAGTCGGCTACATGGGAGTCCAGTGATATAGCCATTACACCCACTGCTGGTCCTTGAATTCAGTTAAATTAACAACAACAACAGAAGTCTCTCACTTACAGGATTTAGTTCACAACTCAGAGCACATATCGTTTTTCCCTGAGCCATAGGAGCTAAGTTCAGGGCTACACCCAAGTAACTAATATCACGTGGTTGGTAACACTGATGGGTCTTTTTATTCTGGATTAAAGTTACTCTATTTTTGTTTTCATTTCAGTGTTTATATTGCATATCACAATGTGCTCTGAGTTCTTATTTTGAAATAGGTTGACAAGAAATTCTATAAATAAACTAACATCCTCAATGAATATTCCTCAGCTCACAATAAAGGGTCGAGAAAAAAAATGCTCCCAGCAAAGCAAAATTACTTAGCTCTACATAAGACGGAGGCTCTCACCTATATTTTGAAAAGCCCTATAGAACATTCCAGTACACTCTTAGAGAAACACAAAGCGTTTTAAATTTATAATATTTAGAAGTCCTACAGTAAGAGAAATCACTTGAACTATTCACCTCAGTGCTCCCACAGCTCTTGGAACCTCCCACATCCTCTGCAACATTTGGAGGGCTAATTTCCTTGCAATGTCAGTTTGGGAAGCACGGAACTAGTGAGGAATCTGCACCAGAAGGTATAGGAATGCTCCCAGGGAAGTCTCAGAATGGACCCACATCCACCTGCTGTGGACCAGGCTGTTTTGAGGCTGGAATTGTGAGCACCCAAGATTCCAATGGGAAAAAGGGAGACTTTCGTCTCCTGAATGAGTCCTGCAGGCCTGGTGAGGTGAGATAGAGAGGGCACTGTGGAGCCAGAGGGCTGAGCATGTCCCCTGGTCCCAGGACACTGGGCCGGCCCTGGATTCCTTAAGAGAAGGGTTGGCAACTCTAGGTCCGCACGTGGGTCTTTGCTCTGAAAGGCCTGGGAGGTGGGAATGAGAGAGAGTTGAGGAAGCACAGCAGTGCCACAGTTAGGAGTCTGGCTTTGGCGTCACAGCAACATGGTTCACATACTCAGCATGACCTTGGAACTGCTTTCTACAGTAGAGTCTGAGTTAACAGTAAGCTCCCCCATGGTAAAACATGGTTAGTGAAACCAACCTCACACATGTGAGTAAGGCAACTCAGGTACAACCCCCGTGGCGGACGCAGGGAAGACTTAGAGAACCGCACGGCCATCACACTTGTTCTATGCACTCCCCTTCATCAATAGGAAGCGCATCAAATCTGTGGCCCTGGCCCTGACTCCAGAGAAGCCATAATCTCTGCAAATTTCCATCTGACGCAGAGTGCAAATGATTACTCAGTTGGGTACAAACTCAGCAACTGAATGTAATCTTGTGTGCTCAGCCCATCCCCAAACATCACTCCCATGGAATAAATGGGAAACGACAAGCACAATCCATAATCATAAAAGCATAGAGTCTGAGAATAAATAATGGCTCTTCTAGACAAGCCTACTTGGTTGTTATTTACAAGCTCCTGGGCCACCTTGTTATTGCCAAGAAAATCTGCTTTACTTCCTTGCCTCTGTTTCATCTGGCCTCTCAATCTGTACTTGCTGCAAAAAATAGCTATTGTTATGCTAAAATCTGAATGGGACTCGCATAACTCAGAGCTAAATAACACCAATAAAACTAGGAAAATGGCACTTTGGCATTAAAAGTTATTTTCTTATGGACTTTAACAAGATTCAATGCTTTTGTTCTCACAGAGCTCTGGTATTTTAGCTACACACACACACACACACACACACACACACACAGACATACTAAAATGTAAGAAAGAATTCCAGCCCAACACCCTCCTCCTTCCTGCAAAGGAGAATTCTGACTTTACGAAGGAGCCGGCAGGCGCTGTGGTATATGCAATCAGTATCGATCCGTTGTCACAGCCGTAGCTGCAGTGATGGTGTTTGGCAGGGGTTTACCTCTTTCCTGGTGAATTTTGGTGAGTGATCGTTTTTGTCATCGATCATGATTGTGGCTGTGGCCGTGCCTGTTAATCCGACGTCCATTCCAGCCATATCTTGAGCCTCGATGATCAGTTCGTACTTGGGATTTTCCAGTGTCTACAAAGCAAAAACAACAGAGAGGACAGCAGTCAGTTGGGCTGCTGCTTCAGAAGGGTCGAGAGCACTGTGCGGGCTGTCCTCTGCCTCTGTCTAGGACAGGCATCTTTCATCAGTCATAGCATTTTCCCCTAGTGTGTGTAAATGTCCCTTCTGCATCTCCTCCATAGAAGACTGTCGCTAGTCACAGACTGGAGTTGGCCATGGACATAGAATCTATTTACGTCCTTGTTTGAGGAGACACTTGATGTATTCTGGATTGTTTGATTTCCTGAAATTGAGTATATGTTATATGTTCTCTATTCCTATCAGAATCTATTATTTCTCAGCAATAAAATTGATCTGGAAATAAGGCTAACTTTGGTGATGAGATTAGGAAATAGATTGCAACTTTAGGAACACACATTTGCTGAAAGGTCTGATTGGCCAGGCATTGCGTTTCTCTGTTTACCAGAAATCATTGTAGTTAATCTTTCCAAAAATCATATCAAATTGCAATTATCATTCCTATTTTGGAAAAAGAAAAACAACTAAGGTTTATTTTATTTTATAAAAAAATTACTATTACTTTTATTTTGTGGGGGTACAGCATGGTTTTTCATAGCATACATACGACACGTAATTATCAAATGATAGAGACTTAATCATCTTCGACAATGAACATTACAGTATATTGTGCACATTTGATAACGGTATAAGACTCGAACGGCGGTCGACTACATGGGAATCCAGCGACATAGCCATCATGCTAACTGCTGGTCCCCATACGTGTGTTTTTCAAGCTGCCGGGTTCAGGAATTGAGCTGTGCAGTTGGCCCAGTGGGCTGTAGCTGCCTTAAGCAACATGTCACCAGCTGGCCTGGAAGTACATATTGAGCAGTCAATGACATATCTTACTCCGCTGTGGTACACATTCCATATCCCCAGTGTTTACACACGTTCTTGTGTCTGTGATCATTTTCTCCTGAACTCTCCTGCCCACAGCTGAAGTTTTAGTCACTGAAGAGAGCACACTCCTTTCACATCCTCTTAGACTCAGAAGGTGTTAAACTTGGAAGATGTCTTCTAATCTAACCATGATTTGATCAATTTATTAAAAACAATATTGCACTCTTATCTCTCTTTACATGGGTAGTTCTGTATTTGAATATTTGATACATTTGGCTACCATGTTTAAATATGCAAACAATTAACCAAATAGTCTGATCCTGAGGAAAAGGAGAGTGCAGTGGCTGACAAATAACACCCTCTACATTTAGTAGAATTGCCTTGGGTAGTAGACCTGCGGGTCTGGGTCTGCATCCTTGGTCTGGTAGGACAACACCCACAGTCCCTTTGGGGACCTACCCCTCATTTCTTCTCCACCCATGTGCCTTGGGTTGACTTTCTTATCTCACCTTCTACCAGGCAAACTTTTGGAATGAGACCTTATTAGAAGAAGCCAATACATGCATCCCATTCCAGGGGATAATGACTAGTTCAGGCCCAGGCCCTGTGTTTATGGGAGAAGGAAGGAAACTCTAAGAATAAAGCCAATCTATTTTGAGAACTACACTTGAACTTTGGAGAAAAAGTAGTTTTCAATGATTGTGTTGGAGACACTTCATCATGCCATGCCTGAAGTCAGCCCTACCCATGGACTTTCCAGCTAATCAAGGCATTAATTTTCCCTATTTGCTTAAGCCAGTTTGGATTGACTTCTTAATCACTCACACAGAGAGTTAGAGTTGCACTACCTTCAAAAACAAAAATAAAAGGTGTTTACAATTGCGTAAACAGTCCTACCAGTATGACTGCTTCAAAAACCACTGGTTATACCAACCAATAATTAAGAAAATACCACAGAGAACAAAGAACAAAAAGGCAATGGGAGATCTCTCAATTCCTTCTAAAGCTGTAAGTTTACATGGTAAATTTAATAGCTCAGTGCTAGCTTTCCTGAAAAGTTTAGAGTGTTTTTGAAGGCTGGTTAGTGTTTGCTCCCTGGGGCACCTTTAATTGGTTGTTCCTTTAATGAAGAGCTTCTAGCTACTAACTGCAGGGGTGTCAGTTCTGCTGGGCTGTTTGGTATGTTTGGGAAGGCTCGGAATGCTTAAATTCACTAAGATGAGTGGCTGGTGTACACTGTTGACACACCTGCACAAGATGTTTTGATCTCAACTTTCTTTTTCTTTTTTTTTTCTATAGGGTGCATGGACTCACTGGAAAGAGACAGAGAAAGAGAAGGTTGGAAAATGAGAAATCACCCCCGTAGAAGAGGTAGTCATGTCACAATCCCTTATCTTCCACTCTCCTCTTGGGATTTTGGGTAAGCATGCACATGCATCTGGTATGATTTTTCAAGCCTCCGGGTTTGGGGCTTGAACCATGGAGTTGGCCATGTAGGGTCCAGTGTCTTTATCACCATACCACCTGGTGACCCAACAGGTCTGATTTCTTGTATAACATTTCTACTCTTGTCATGTCATGACATTGTGTATATTTTAAAAAGCACACGTTCATAGAAATAAGAAATGTTGGGAACCAGCAGTTAGTGTAATGGCTATGTCACTGGATTCCCACGTAGTCGACCGCGGTTCGCATCCCAGATCCGATGGCTTAGAACTCATGCCGGGTGCGTGTGTGTGCATGCCCAAGATCCTGAGAGGAGAATAGAGAAGGGATGGCGGTGTGACCATCCCCCCGGGGGGTTGATTTCTCGCTTTCTGTCTCTCTGTCTCTCTCTGTTTGTCCAGCGAGCGCACGTGCTCTATAGCGAAAACCTCTCAAAAAAAAAAAAAGAAATGTTGTGAATTTCCTTTCAGTATGAAAGAGATCATGATAAACTTAATATCATTTTCTCTATTCAGTATCTTTTTTTTTTTTCCCAGAGGGCATATGTACTTACTAGAAAGAGACAGAGGCAGAGGGAGAGAGAAGGAGGAGAAATCATTTCCCAATGAGGTGATGTCATGCTGCAATCTCCTCTCCTCTATTTCATCCCATTGGGGCTTGGGGCACATAAGTAAGCACATGTGCCAAGTGTGTCCCTCAAGGCACAGGGGCCAGGATTGAACTGTGCAGCCAGCCACGTGGGATTCGGCTCTCTTACCTACCAGACCAGGGGGCCAGCCATCTATGTAGTGTCATTTACCAATCTAATTTCTAGGCATTATTTAAGAATTGCATAAAAGGGACCAGCAGGTGGCATGGTGGTTAAAGTGTTAGACTTCCACATGGCATTTCAAGTCCCAGATCAGGCAGTTTGTTTTCTTGCTTTCCCTCTCTCTTTCGGTCTTCCTCTGGTCAAATTTTAAAAAATGAACAAAATTAAATAAAATAATGTTATTTTTAGAGGTTTTTGCCTTAGGGCATGCTTGATTGGGGGGGGAAGAGAGAGAGAGAGAGAGAGAGAGAGAGAGAGAGAGAGAGAGAGAGAGAGAGAGAGAGAAATCTCTCTAGAAAGAGAGAAAGTGAGAAATCACTCTATAGGGTATGGCCACACTGCAATCCCTTCTCCTTTATTCTCTTCCTGGGATCTTGAGCATGTACACACATGTGCCCGGCATGAGTTTCAAGCTACTTGGTTTGGGACTCGAACCGCAGTAGGCCACATGGGAGTCCAGTGATGTAACTGCTATGTCATCTGCTGGTCCCAAATAATTCTTAAAAAATTTTGCATAAAATATAATCTCATGTACATATAATCACACACATGTATGTATGTATATGTGTGTATATATGTATGTGTGTGTGTGTAAATTTTTGATGTTTGCCCATCTGTTTCTTGAGAGAGAGAGAGAGAAAGAGAAAGATACCTCTCATAGCAGCCCCATGCAATCCACCCCAGGTCTCATCAGCCCTGGAACATGGACAGACACGTTCTCTCCCATGTGGGCCCACCCCTGTCACTACTATGCTGCCATCTGACCTAATGGAATGTATATTATATAACTTAATCATCTTTGATTATCAAGTGTTTAGGTTATTTCCAGTCTTTCACAAATGCTGATGAAATACCACTATAGTAAACGTCTTTATTCAGGAAGCCTTATACATAATTTGCTATTTTGTTTTGTTTTCATTTTGAATAATGGATTCCAAGATGTGGAGTTGCTGGTTTGAAAGCTGCACGTGATTTGAGGCACCTTATTCATATTTCAATATTGCTTTGCAAGAGGATGTTAGCAATTTTCATGCCAGTGTGATCAGAATGTTAAGTTCATGACCCCAGACATAACCTTCCCTTAAAGAGTAGCTCCTGCCCCTGCCCCTGGAATGGACCGAGGGGCTAGCGTGATTTTCCGGTAGTGGCCTAGTGAGGAGGGATGTTCCTCACAGCGTCTGCTCCTCTTCAACTTGCAGGGCAGACTGTCAATGGGGACGTGCTACAGACAGCTTTAAGTGCTAACTACAGGGATGTGGGGCGTGGCCTCCAGCATCCGTAGTCTCTGCCTCCAGCACCTGCACTGTGACTCCTCACTTTCAGTCCAGGTGGATTCCAGGTGGGATTAACCCCATTCCTGATCTAAAACCATCACGTGGCTCGGGCCTGGCCAATCCGGGCCTCTCACCACACGTGACCCAAGTGAGGCCACCTGGAACCGACGTTTGATCTGGGACACACTTCACTTAGGATGCTCAGGGAGAAGTGCT